TATTTACTATTTATGTTGCAACTTGTATTTATGTTCAAAAAAATTGATGCTTAAATTCCATGAGGTCTTGGCTTTTATTTCACATTAATCTATATTGATTATGAAATCTTCCTCGATCTTGTAATCGTTTATTTTAGATCATATGAAAAATTTTAGCACATTTCAGAGAAAGGGAAATGAGAAAGTTAATGAAATTCAATGTTTAACGTTCTTTTGATTTAGTGCATATTTGTTGTAGATTTTTTAAAATAAGTTTTGTGAAAAATTATTTTACGAAAAATGTGCGATTAACAATTAAGAAATAAATTATGGTTTCATGCACATTAGAAGAATACTAGTCGCTATCACGTGCGCTGCACGAATTTTGTATTTATCGGATTTTTATTAGTGTATGAATTTTAATTTTTTTAAAAAATTTTTGAAGCAATATCTAAAAATATTTTCATGATATAAGACAATAATTGTAAATTATTTTTACAATTGCATAGCAATATGTTATCTAAAAAAAATCTGCTTGAATAAGAAATATACAAACTATTTTGTTTGTATTCTTTGATGGTGTTGATATGATTGAATTGAATGTGAATATTATATTTATAAATTTGTTTAATTAAATATTGTAAAATTGAAAAAAAAATTCTCTGCACAGTGCGAAAAGAGTTGAACCAAGTGCGGAGTAAAAATAAAAAAAGGTGCGGAGAGAATTGAACCATGTGTGGAGAGTTGGCAAATTCTTCACACAGTACGAAGTAAAAAAAAATCTCTCTGCACAATGCGGAAAGATGACAAACTTACTCTCTCCGCACAATGCGGAGAGTTGGTTCACACCATGGCAAAACTCTCCGCACAGTACGGAGAGTTGTTTTCAAATTCCTTAATTACAAGTCAAATTTCAATATTGTAAATTTTTCGTATATACAATGAAACAGAGTTGAAAAACATGGCTCAAAATCAATAATGTCTTCATTAAATTTCGGTCACAGTTCAATTTCTGAGCATGCAAATCATAGAATGAAATAATATGTGAGTTGTGCAAAGAAGGGGATATTGATAGTACAATGGCATTGCTTTCACAAAAGGAGGCTTTAGGATACCATCCAAATTCAATATTTTACACTTGCTTAATAACAGCTTTTGGACATTAGAAGTGGATACAATTTTCAACGAAATTATACTTTCGGGTTGTAGACCAGGAATTAAAGTATTCAATGCATTGCTCAAAGGTTGTTTGAGAAAAGACCTCTTGGAACTTGCAGATAAAATCCCGAGAGTTTTTATTTTTCTCTTCACACTATGCGGACAGATAGTTTGCCATCTCTCCGCACTTTGCGGAGTCTTTTTTTTTTTTGCTCATGTGCGGAGATTTTTTTTGTGTTTCATGGAGTTTATATATATTAAAATTATTATTCTTTTTTTATATTGTTGGCATGATGTGTGTGTGTAAAAGTATATTTGTCAATCACCATAAACAAATTTTTTCACAAAATGCAAAAAATAAAAATGGATAATAAATCTTCTTATTGCGCTAATAAAATTACAATATATTTTTTTTTTACAAATAACATAAAAAAATCATTTTTCTTTTCAACAAAAAAACACATTTAAAAATTAATAATTTCATAACCATTTTTTTAATTCTCGAAAATACAATTATAAAAAAGGAAACAATATTGAATTGTACAGTTAATACTTAAGAAATTCAATATTAAATAGATTTTATACATTTATAACAAATTATAAATCCATATATGCACCTTACGGTATTTGCAGGCAGCTTACCGCAAATGCTGTCTATCGTATTTGCAGCTTATCTTATTTTCAGTCTACCGTATTTGTAAACAACTTACCGTATTTGCATCTTATTGTATTTGAACCTTACTGTATATGTTGCCTACCGTATTTGCAACTTACTGTATTTGCAAATAACTTATCGTATTTTCACCTTACCGTATTTGCTACTTACCGTATATGCTACTTACCATATTTACAATTTACCGTATATGCTGTCTACCGTATTTGCAGCTTACTGTATTTTTATATATCGATTTTTGCACTTACTAATACCAAGAATGCAGAACACCGTACATTCACTTATCAAATCGAATTTCAAAAAAAAATCAGATTTTTATTTTTTTCAACATAAGCATAATATAAATATTAAATATATATGAAGCACAAAATATAAATGCATATGAATATGGTGCTCAATTTTCAATTTTCTAATATTGAATTACACAAAATCTAGAAATATAATCTTCACATTCAACTCAATAATATCAACACTATCAAAGAATACAAACAAAATAATTTGTATGATCTCATATATTTCTTATTCAAATATGAAATATACAAGTATATTTTTTCTAGATGACACAATACTATTATACAATTGTAAAAATAATTTGCAATTATTTTCTTATATCATGGAAATATTTTTAAGTATTGTTTCAAAAACTTTCCAAAAAATTAAAATTCATACACTAATAAAAATACGATAAATGCAAAATTCTTGCAACGCACGTGACAGTCACTGTGTGGAGATGTTTTTTTTCTTTTAATTTCGCACTGTACGGAGAATTTGTCAACTCTTCGCACTGTGCGAAGTTTTTTTTTTTTTTTTTGCTTTTTTTACTTTGCACTGTATGGAGAGCCCGCACTTTGTGAGGACAGTGTCCACACAGAATGTCATCTCTCCGCATTGTGCGGAGAGTTTTGCCATGGTGTTTGCCATCTCTCCGCACTGTATGGAGAGTTTTTTTTTATTTCGCACCGTACGGAGAGTTTGCCAACTCTCCGCACATGGTTTGTCATCTCTGCACTATGCGTAGAGTTGTTTTTCCTTCTATACTCCGCACATGGTTTGCCATCTCTCCGCACTGTGTGGGGAGTTTATTTTTTATTTTTTTTAAAACTCATGTATGAAGAGTTTTTTTTTCCTCTCATGACAGTTTATATTTACTAAAATTATTATTATTTTTTTAATGTTAGTGGCATGATATGTGGAAAAACATTTGTTTGACATAATTATTTTTTTAATGCTAGTAGGATAATATGTGGAAGAATATTTATTTAACATAAATAAAATGGAAAATAAAAAATGATATCATGCATAGTAAAATTAGATTCATTTACTATTGCATGAATAGTAGACTTCATTCCCCTTTTTATTAGAAGTTAGATAAGGTTAAAAATAAGTTTTGAAAAATATATTCCAAATAGAGTATCAAATACAAAGTATATTGTGCTCGTATTTGTAAAACTAAATATTTAGATTAAAATTTAAGTCAAAATCAGTAATTAATTTTAACTACACTTTTTGTATGGTTGACAACTTTGACAATATGGTTGGCAGTCCTCTCACATACAAGGAGTGGAGCTTGTAATTAAAATAATCGCGGCCCACACATTCGTGAGAGGGCTGTAAGTGCTGTACACACATTATTTTCATTTTTTTAAAATAAAAATTCACTAAAAACTTTTTTTTTTTTTTTATCAAAACTAAATAGGGGCTGTATATTTGATTTTGATTTTAAATGGGAATCTTTGTGTAGCTTCAGGGCATTATAGAAGTAAGTACTATTGTAAACTGCAATATTCTATACCATTGAAAAAGTTAAATGAACCAATTTTCTTATTTCACTCGTTTCGATGTTACAAATATTGTAATATCTTAAATCAAATATCTTGTACTTATGTCAAACTAATTAGATTTTAATCGGCATATTTTTTAGTAACATTTTATTCCAAGTTTATTGAAGTAGATTAATTACTTTCCTTGTTTTAACCTATTAGAGGGAAAAGAAAAGGGTCAAACGTTGACACAATAATTAAAAAATATTAATTAAATACAGTCAATTAGGAATAAACTAATCAATTTCAGTCGAGCATTTGGATTTGATTTGATTTTGACAACATTGTATAAAAGGCATGTTCATTGGTAGATGACTTCTACTTAAACGTGTGAAAAAGTCATACAAAATGCATGAACAAACTACAACAATTTATTTTATCGGGAACTAGAGTCAAAAATATTAAAGAAACAATCGCTCTATCTGTACAATCCCTTTTTATAATTTTGATTGTTAATCATACTTGACAATATCACGTTCATCAATTTCAAAAACTATTTTTTAAGTGAATGGTCCAAATTTTGACAACATCGATGTTGTCATCCATCATTATCAATCACAATTGTACAAGTAAATTAATTTTTAAAGAAAACAGACAAAATTTATGAGTATCGTATTTCTTTAATTAATACAACAACAAACGAATCTGCGTTTCATATAAATTTTAGATTGACCACATGCATTGCTTTTCAAGATTGTGTTGGATTGCATTAATCATTAAGATTGTGATATTCTAAATGAAAATCCATTACAGCATTGAGACAAAAAAAAAAAAAAACAATTATTAATGAAATATTACACTATTGCTTTACAAGCCAAAGAAATAAAGCACACAAAGTAACAAGCTTAAAGGTTGACAAAATCATAACAAAACAAAATCAAAACAACAGACACGGCGCCATTAACGCTCCCATTTTCATCATCTATTTATGGACTTTTCATTTGCATTCTTTTCTATGTTCACGCCTCAAACAATGCATCTCTTCACCCCATCCCGCCCACCACTTGGTGAGCACTGAGTGATTTGGTCCATGTTTCTTGAGAAGGGAATCAAGTCGGTTCCATTGAGAATCGTGTGACGAGATCAAAAGAAAAGTGCCTCACATAATGCATCATTGTACCCCCACTCTCGTCTAGAAGCGAAATTGGGACGTTCAATATCGATTTCTTGAAAGTCCAACCAAACCAATTCTAACGTAACAATTGATTTCATTAGCAAAAACTAGACCAAA